ATAGGATAAAGAGATTCCTGCAAAGAGGTCGAAGACTACTGGAAGTGAGGTACTGCTAAGCTTTTTTTTTTTTTGACTATTCCCTCTATTTCCTTTCCAACATTGCTTTGCTATTCTGCAAAGTGCACTTGCTCTCACTGAATATAGTTGACATATCTTCAAATGCAAGTCTTTTAGGAGGAGAAAGCTTAAAGGGATTTAATATTCTTCTCTTTGAATGGGCCAGAAATGTCAGCATTCTTTTATTCATCAAGATGTTCTCAAAGGCAAACACTTTTATACCACTCTTTGAAAGGTTCGTTATGACTATTGCAGCATAGATATGTTATCTTTTTGCTATTGCATTTAGAAACATTTGCAAAAAAACCTCCGTTAATGAAATATTCATTATGCTCTGACTGTGGGTAATCTTTGGTATATATACAAAACTTCAGAAATTCTAAGTATGTTAGGGCAGAAGTTAGACTTAGTATCTGCTTTTCAGAGCTGAGGATATGTTTTCTATACTCATCTGAGAAGCCCAAGGAGAGAATAATCACATCTCCTAACGGTTCAGTATTAACCAGCACTGAAGTTAAGTCTAACAGAAGCCCAAAAAACCATGGAAGGTCGTCTGCGGCTTTTTCTGTGAAACAAGATTTGTTTATGTAAGTGTCTTTTCAAAACTGTAGCATTTTTTGCAGTGCTTTCCCTGGCATAGGAGTACCTAAAAATTAGTGGAAGAAAGTGAAGGAAAAAAAATGAAACAAACTATGCTTTAAGGGCATGATGTGTCTGTGTGTCCCCCCAGTCTTTATCTTCTCAATATCTGTTTGGCTGATCATACTGCAAAACTGTAACTACCCATGCGATGTGAAAGAACTGTCCTAACTGTCTGGGTTCTCATAGCTTTGCAACTAGTGTGTGGTACACTGGTGGTTCTACTGTACACCAGCCCCCCCCCCCCCAATGCTGTACTATGTATTTACTCTCCCTTTGCCCTGTGATTCATTCAAGCTACAATGCCTAGGTAACGCTTTTTAGACTTCCTGTTGCTTGATGCCCATTTAAGTACTATTTAGTAGATGTAGAATCATGCCTGAAACATGAATTGTTGAGGAGAAAGAGCACGTGCCAGCAGTATTTCTCAAAAATCATTGTCTTGCAACATGAATTCTTAATTACTGCTCTTGCTGGAGGTCAAGTATTCTGTTTCTTACCTGCTTATGAATACTGTGACAATGCTTGCCAGTTGTAAAGATGCAAAGCCTGTTTTATGCAGTGTCTAAAACTGTTTAAAACTGCATTTGTCTGTGTAGTGGGAACCGTGATAGCTTGCTGCAAACCACGTTTCTAGTACTTTTTTTCTGATCTCTGGAGCAGCCTATGGAGTGGGGGGAAAAAACACCAGTGAGGCTGAGTAGCTCTTGCTTTCTGGGCCAGTGTAGACTCCAGAGCTGCTTCATATAACTCCTCCTCTGAGAGAGCTCTGGACTGTGGTTTAATAGAACTATGAAAAATAAGCAAAGGCAAATGTACATTCCAGTCGTTGTGGGCTTCTGATGCAAGTAAGCAAACAAACGTGCAGGCTATAGGCTTCCCAACCATGCTTGGTCTTTACTTAGATGGTGAAATGGGAGAATGCAAATCATTTAGAAAACCCTTTTTCATCATCTTTGGGAGTTGGGGAGAAGAGAGAAAACAGAGGGATCTTTGTGTTCAGGAAAGCAGTTTCTTCTTACACTGGGCCCTTCGGCAGCTCTCCTTACCTTGGCCTGGTGAGAAATGCATCCCTGTGTGCTGTATTTAGGGAAAACATAGCTTAATCAGGGGATGAAGGGAAAATGAGGAATTTAATGCCATGTACTGATTTCTAAAGACCTTTGAAGCACTGTACTCTTTACTCTTATCTAGGGATGCAAAGACTACTATTGATACCTGGTGTTCAGCTGATCCTTGCATTGAATTTGGCAAGAATTCAAAGGTTGTAGTTCCTCTTGCCCTGGAAACACCTTGGCATCTTTAAAACTTGTGCTTTTAGGGTGGCAGTTATTTGTTACTCTCCACAAGGGCAAGCCCTCTTAAGAGTGTGTGTTAAATTGTGCTGAACTGGGGTTCATCAGATGGCAGTTTAGCTATGGAAAATGACAATAATTCTGCATGAGTCTCTTCAATCTGCCTAATCTACTTTAAATTGTTCTTGGCGTTCCTGACGCCAGAAAAGCAGGTCTGAAAATCGAGGAGTTTCGGCTTTCAATGTTCGTGGGATAGGGGAATGCACATCATACAAGTCTGTTAGCTGTTTTGCAGCCTCGGCTTGTAGTTCTAAGGGAAACGCTGTGGTGTTTCTGTTACGAACTGTTCTCAGTAGTGCAAGACATTTCTTGCAACATTTTAGACCTTCCCAAATCTCAATTAAATTTAGCTTTGCAGTCACTGTTGACAATTGATCTTTCTGCTTTCACAGATGTTTTTTGGCTGTTTGAAGACTAGAGAAAAGTTATTTTGAGGGAGAAACTGTGCTGGAAGAAATCATATTCAGCTTCAGTCTCAAAATTATTACTAGCTTACAGTCTGAACCTTTGCTTTGTCTTAAGCATTGGAAGCACTTGGAACTCACTCCTGCCCAAGTAAATCTCTGTGAAAGGTATAAAAATTTTCACATCTCTCTCTGGAAGAGTGGGTGTTCCCACTATGGTTACAGTCAAAACTGTCAGAGGCTGATTGTTGAATATAGTCTTCCATGTCTAGCAGGAAGAAGGTTTGAAGAGGTCACTGTTTTCTTTTCAAGACAAATGTGACATGTTGCTTCCTTGCTGTAGTGAAAGGGTTTCTAATCTACTTGTCATTGTATGTTTTTGGTAAAGTGTTCACATGCCATCTCATTCAGAGGACCCAGGTGTTCTTGAATACAAATTTTTATTTAAAATGTTGGCCTTGGTAAGGAATCTGTCCAAGCATGTAGAGATTATAGTCCTCTAACTTACAGATTACACACCAGGGATTTGAAAAAAAAAAAACCCAAAAACAAAAAAAAACCAAAAAAAACCCCAAAGAAAGAAACAAGACAGCTTTTGTTTTGTTGCATCCTGTGGGTTGCACAGTGCTGGAGCACCCTTGTGGACTTCAGTTGAATTCCTTTTGTCAGGCAAAAACTTCTGATAAATTAACTAGTCAGGTGAGATATAAGGGGTCATCAGAGTGGTCATGCAGTCTGAATAAGTGATCTGATAGAGGGCCTTCTGCTTGGAACAGTGTTCAAAACTGGTGTCAGAGTTGTCTTATGATAATCGTTATGTTTCATAAGAAAGGAAAAGCTGTCATCATTTCCCATGCAGTACAGGTGTGAACTTTGTACTGACTTTGTATTCTGTCTTAACTACAGCCTCTGTAACCTTCTTTGGTCACATTAGACATTTTTTGGGTATACGTAGCCTGGGCTATAGTGTGTCCATTACATGTGTTTAGGGATTTGTGTGTTCCAAATTTTAGATTATCAGTGAAACTCTCATCCTGATGCTTGAACTTGCCCAGCCTTTTTCTATGGATGTGTCCAATAGCTGTAAGCCTTGCTTGGTGTTCTTGTAGATTAACAAATACTGAGAATAGAAGTAATCTTCACTCAGCAGTCCAGTTAAAATCTACTGGAGTAGAGTTGGTTTACTGAGAAAGTTGCATCAGTGATTTGATCAAGCTTAACTTCAAATAAATGGTTCCTTAAACCTGAGAAAGTCAGTGTTTCATTTTCATTCATGTCGTAGTTTTGCAGGTGAAATGTGTCCCGTAACTAGTTTATCAGAGTATGTCCGACACCACTTTTGGGATACCTGTGGGTAAAAACTTAAATAGTATTCGTGATTCCCTTTTCACTATAACGTGAGGGAAGTACACTATGAAGAGACTGCAGGCACTTTGCATTTGTGCTGGGCACTGCATTCCTTTTTTCCTATGTGGCACGTTAATTTATATTGGAAAAGTTCCATTGAATTCTCATTTAGATACAGTATATTTGGTCTCCAGATGTTGCTGGTATCTGGTTTGTTGTTTTCATTGGCAAATACCTTGTAGCAAGTGTTACATTGGGAATGCTTATAACATGGGTTTATAACATTTTATAAGCAAGCCCCTCTCCATTTATTTCTGGTTGTATTTCATGAGTGTCCTTATTTTCCTTCTCCTTTTTTTCCCTTTTTTTTCCTTTTTTCCTTTTAAACATCATCCTTTGTTCACACTGCTGCTGGACTGCAGCTCATCTTTTTCATTCTCCTTAGTCCTCAGGTGCATGCTGCCATGTTCAGTTGATGGTTGATGAGAATCCCTGCAAGATCGCAAATGAGCAGACAGAAAGGAAATGGAAATGATAGCTGCTTTTTCTTCTGTCTGTCTTGTGAGCTCAGAGCTTCTCAGTGAGGAAGGGTCAGCAGCCCCCAAATGCTGCCTCTGATGCTTTGAGATTTTTTTTTTTTGAGAACTCCAGTATAAAAATGACTAAAGTAATTGTAAGCTTTAGCATATCTCTTCTCCCTGTCACGCAAGGGTGATGGTGAATGGCAAGCAGGCCTTAAAAAGTGGTGATGTTTGTCATTTTATGAAATTATACTAAGTTTCTGTTCCTCTCTTTATCTCTCTTGTTTTGTCACTTTCCTCACTCTGCATAGGTTGTCCACTTCTGCTTCAAATTAGCTGAACCCTCAGAGTTGAGCACTAAGTGTTGCAACCCTTGGGCAAAATCATACCTGTTCAAAACCCTCCCCCCAAATGCACCAGCTAAGGAGCTTGGGAAGACTGGGAAAGGAAATAGTTGAACAGGAAAGGGAAAGTTAGATAAGGAAGAATTGTTTCTGAGAACGGTGTATGGGAGTCCAGAAAGGCAGGTTGTAAAAATAGCGTCAGAAATGTGCTTAATTTTTTGGTTTTTCTTCCTGTGATATTCAGGTTTGTAATAACAAACCCTGATCAAAATGAGTTATCCTCTATAAGAATCTGTACAGCCGGAGCTAGCAGTCATTTTTGACCATCAGTCTTAGTCAGAACGCTGACTCACAGCTTACCCGGGTGCAACAGTCTGTATTTTCCTTGCTTTTCTCAACACTTGCCGTATGAATACGTTGAAGTATATTTGTATATCTTTTTATCTTTCTCTGGTTTTCTTATTTCAAAAACCAAAAACTGTTCCCGTTCTCTGTGTGAAAGAGAGACATTTCTGCTTGTCTCAGCAAAAACGATATCATGATATATTAAAAATGATGTTCAACTGAAGTGGAATACAGTAAGTTGCCAAGCAGCGTTAAAGAAAACACCCCAGTAAAGCAAACACTTATTTACATCCTACATGAGTTCCCATGTAATGTACTTAGCATGTAGTTCTTAGGAAATAAAGGATATCATTTAGACATACTGGTTGTTCCTTCTGATGTCATTTTCTGCTGATTTTCATATTCAGTTTTAGGAACTAGGAAATGCACTTTTGACTTCTCTGTGTTGAGCAAATGGAACCCCCCCCCATCACCTCTTTAAGGTATAATAGAGCCATAAGTATAAATGTCTGTCTTGTGTTCACATTAACCCAAAGTCAAACAAGCTACGTAATACCCTGGGTTGAAAGTCCCTCTGGGCTCTGTCGGGTCACTTCCCCTAGCAGATGGGTTCTGTCCCTTTTTCTGAATGTAGGAAACTGTTTCCTCTTTTTTTGCATGCTCCAGGAGGCTGTCCTTCTGAAGAAGCCGTCAACCAGCAGACTTGGCATGAGGCTAGCCTGTAGGAACTACTCCATCTGGCCTGTTGTACAGTCTGCTGTCATGAAGTGGAGTCCCTTCTACATTAGGCGCTTGCACAGTTGGATTAAATCCGGACTGCAGCAAGCAGCGATCTCATAGGCAGACCAGTTGACTGCTGTCATACTAAGGCAGTTAAATGGTAAACTTTCCAAAGCAGTTTTTGTTTCATGAGAGATCTTTTTCTGTCACTGGAAGGTGTGTCAAATGGGCTGCTGAAACAATCTCACCATTGCTTGAGGGGATAGAAGTACTCACTTGGGGGTTTGATGAGGTAGAATTTTTTGTTTTACTGATTTAAAATAAAGATAAAAATATCAATTACCAGATGCATTCACCACCCAAAACTAACCACTGAATGGCATATGCAGATGGTAATCTGTGAAGACAGGTGGTGTCTGACACTTGCTTTTCTGTTTGCAGCTGAGGCAGGGACTGTTTTGCAGCAAGGGATGGGGGAGAACATTCAAGTGGTCAGAAGGAATAGGTGCTTGGTCTGGGCAAATAAGAGTGATGGAAAAATTCCTGGGTGATATTTAGGCAAGGAGGGAAACAAGATAGGAAAGAGGAGGAAAAAACCCCTTAAAAAACCAGAGGAGTATAGTTCTGTCTAACTGTCAAACTATCTAGTATGCGCTCTCCTTTCCACACCAGTGAATCCTGTCTCATCACTGTGAAAATGTGATTGCCCTATAAATAAAACTTTTTATTTTTAAATGTAAGCACTGCATGAAGTTATTAATCTCTTGTAAATGCTTGTGGCAGCTTAGCATTAGAGGGAGTACTTTCGGGGATTTTTTTTGCATACAAATTAATCTGTCAGGCTGTCACATTTAAGATCTTGACAATTCACATTTGACTGATACCACAAATTATGAAGGCCTGGTCTTAGAGCTGAGTTAAATGCAAGTGATTTTTTGTTTTTGAGAGCATCATTGTATTCATTTAAGTCCAGTTATTGTCCAGCCCTGAGAGCTGTTTTGGTGAAGACCTGGAATAACTCTTGACCAATTAAAGCTTAAAACCAAGATTTACAGGCTGCCAAAGCCATTGTATTAGACATGGTCAGGAAAACGTACAGTGGCATCTAAACAACAAAAATACAGGGTTGTGGTGGAGGGGAAGACATTGTGTATAATTCCAGGAGTAGTTTGTAAGTTTTCTGCCTGTAGCTACCAGTCAGAACAATTCTTTGACCTGCTTGGCAGTTCCTTAAGAGTTTCTTGTCAGCACTGGCTTTCATGCTGTGCATTGCTTTTTTCCAAGTGTTTCCCAGATGGATGTGCAGACTTTATTTGGCTCTTTTTCAACCCTTCCCTTACCTGCTGCTGCATGTATGTTGCTTTGTTCTGTCTGCTTCCTCAGTGTTGACATCTTGGAGCTTTCTTTCTGATCGCTTCTCTGTTTCAACAATTCTTATATCCGTAAGGTGTACTTTATGAAATTAATCTGAATCACCTTTCTCCTTTTTTTTGTTTTTTCTTTTTTTCTTGTTTCATTTGGTTATGACCTGATCGGGAAAAGTGACTCCATCTGACATGCCACTGATTGCAGTATGGGCACAGTACTTATGGATGGCAAATTTAATTTAAATTTACTGTCAAGATTGTGCATAGCTTGTGATCTCATGGGAGGAACACTGCGTGACAGTTGGGATTTTTCTTTGCTTTCTTGCTTTCCATATTCCAGGTTTGTTTGGGAGGAGAGGATCATAGAACCATTGGAATTACTTTAATCAGACTGTGGCATTGACCCTGGTAATGGTATTTCTTTGTTGCAGCTGCAGGGTACAAGGAGCAAAAATACAAATATTTAAGAGTCTGCTGGAGCTTTAATTGCAGTTTAGTTAAAGAGTCAGTGCAAGTCTTCAGTTGGTTTAACTTTTTTTTTTCCCTA